TTTCTTTGCGTATAACGTTGTACATTCTTAAGAGTATGGTACAAATACGAGTTTGGTGAAGTTGTAAATAATTATTGTGGTGCAAAAACCCTTTGCAAGCTTTAAAGATTGTTCATTCATTTATCTCTGATGAAATTAAAAATGTGAAATTTCAAAATACTGCATCCTTTGTTAAAACTAATTAGTAGAGTATTAAGTTTTACTTTTCTTAGTCTTGAGTAATATTATTTAGTAAAATCCAACTAGTGGTCTATTAACAATGCTGTGTCTGATTGGTTGAGCTACTACTAGGCTATATGTTATAGCCCCCTAGTAGCGAAAAGCGCAGGCTTTTGGGCGGCAAAAAAGGATTAAAGTCTCGCTTTTAACTAGCTAAAATTTTTTTATTCTCAATATTTTTGACCAACTAGTTGGATTTTACGAAAACAATTATTCCTCTCAACCTCATGGCCTCTGAGTCAATAGCCCATTCAGCCTTCGGCCTCATGGGCTATTGACTCAGAGCCCATTTGGGCTCGAGGAATATTTGTTAAATAGAAATTGGATGAGGGTGATATAAAGCATTATGTAGATCACAGAGGTGTTTTCGGCCCAGGTGGATCACACCCTCTGAGATCTGAATAATTATTATTCCTCATTTCATATGAAAGGCAAAATAATTATTGTTTTATCATTCATTCAACATGTTTCCATACTCATTATGCTACCCTTTCCTCCATGTTGAATTTTTGAGTCAGCGCTAAAAATAACGGTCGGTCAACAGACAATGTCTGGCCAGAATGGCCGGAGATGGCATTACAACTTAGAGATGTCATTACAACTTTATAAATTTTGTAGGGTGACGCAGGCAAAACTATATTCCCGTATTGGGCAGAGTTGCGAAAGAGTAAGGCCATCTTAAATTTGAAGTTTATAGTTTTTATATGTCACACAATGCCAAGCTAATAGTTATCATTAGCATAATCACAAAATCCACTAGTTCTAGGCTTGGACACAATTAATTTTTTGCAGTACACTGCCTTACAACCAATAGAGGGTTTTTTGTATATCCTCTAAAAGAAAATCAGATGAAGGGACGCTGACTTGTCAACCCTCTCATATGCTTTGTCATTTCAGATATGTTCCATCCCAAGGAGACACTGTAGTTTACGAAGCATTATCTGGGGTCCCACCCTCTGATCTGCCACATGCTCTACGATGGTACAATCACATAACCTCGTTTGGTGAAGAGAAGGCAAAATTTCCTGGTGTCAAAAAAGATCTTCAAAGCTATGGTGCTGGACCTGCAACAAATGGCACAGCAAAGAATGATGATGATGACTTTGATCTCTTTGGTTCTGATTCTGAAGAGGTATTTATAGTATTATCTTTTAGGAACCTTAAAGGTGCTATGTCACAAGGATAAGGCTCTTTTTGGTCAATTCTGTGCTGAACTCATTACTTGGTACCTTAAGCTAAATACAAAATGTTCCTGTAGAGTTATGAAGAATCAAACAAATTTCATCCATGAACACTAACCATAATATTTTTTTGGTGATTTTTTTTTTCCAAGAATAGCATTGAAACTTGAAAAAGTTGTCTCAATTTTTTCAAGTTTCGCATTTCATATCTTTCAAGTTTCAATTCATGCCATAATATTTCCTTTTCATATTTTCCATGAGGAAACACTTTCAATGCCTAAAATTTAGGCATTGAAAGTGTTTTCTCATGGAAAATATGAAAAGGAAATAGGAAATAAATAGGAATAATATAGTCTCAAATCCCAGCAGGGATTATGGGTAATAGAAGTCACATGTTGTTTCAAAGCTGGAGCAGTTACATTGTAACATTACCATCAATCTTCTTTGTCGCTGCTGGTATGCACAACTTTGTTGGCAGCCTCTTGAAATGAGAGATTTGGGTTTTTTTTAAAAGTGAGTCTACGTATTTAGTAGCAGCAGCAAGTCACAGTAGACTGAAGAATATAAACAATGCAACAAGTAGACAATCCACATTTTTACTAATCAAATGCAACTGCTAGGCATCTGTTTATTACTGATTTTGTTGTCTAACTTGGAAATAAACCCTACAGATGCTCCAAAAACTGTTTGTAGCATAACTTTTCGAGAACGTGTGAGAAATCAGTTGTCAAGTCATGAGAGTGTGCAATAAGGCATGATTCACGTCAAAGCCTTGAGTATTGCCAAGTCAGAATGTCTGAATAATATTTTTGAGTGGACCATTGAATTCCTTCTTTGCAATGTAGGAAACTGAAGAGGACAGAAAGCGCAAAGAAGAAAGGGAACAAGCATACAAAGCGAAAAAGGCTACAAGTAAGCTTTTACAATCTGTTTCTGATCTAGTGCTAAATACTCCCTCCCATGATGTATGTCATTACATGAAATTTTCGTGACACATTAATTTCACGAAGTTGAATTTTCGATTAATTTTGTACTTTGAATCACTTTAATTTCACAATCTTTAGTAAGACACTATTTATTTAACTTTCCTGGAATAACCCATTATTCCAATTACATGTTTCAACTGATTTTAAATTAAGTCCCTTTCTGTGAGAGCAAACAGTGTAAAGGTTGCACACAAATATTTTTTCATTGAGGTATCTGTGCTTTCAGGCTAGATGTCAATTTGTTTTTTTTTTACCGCTTCTGCATGATTGTATAACCTTTTCAGATAATGTAATGTCATCCAAGTTAATGCTTGTGTTTTATTGGTCAAGTGAATTTTAAGAAACATTGACTGGTCCCCTGGGAACAGTTAATTTTGTTTTGCAAGAATATGAGGCTCTACCTCTGGAAATGGTGAGACTTTAGTGTTAGTTTTCCATGGGGCCAGCCATTAAGTGATTTGTTTTTAGAGCCAAAGATGAAAACATCTACGTGTACAAAATCATGAAATTGATTCTCCTTGGTCAATATTTACAGTTTACAGATCACTATAGCTTGCGAACCCAGATGTGTGAACTCAAAGTAACCATTGAGAAACTGTGCTACTGGGGAAAAATTCCAGCAATATAACAATGAGGTGTATATATTTAACTGTTTTTTTGTTGTTTTTTCAATGTCTTTTTTACTTTAGAAAAAGCAGTCATCGCCAAATCCAGTCTCCTCATTGATGTTAAACCATGGGATGACGAGACAGGTACAGAATTGTAAAAATCAGTCACAATCCTCCTTGGTATGCAGGGTAATGTTGCATGTCTTTCAGAAATCTCTGGCACCAATTGGAATGTTTTGGGGTATATTGATAAGCTTGTGAATAACAACCATCTCTCCTGACTTTTCACACAGGCTCCTCATCGCGAGGAACATTTTCCCTGTGGAGAAGTCTGTGCCTCAATGACGGAAATTGCATACTGATGAATCTTGTTAGTTGTTCTCAACAGTCGAAAAAATTGTATTCTTTTTGCTATTGCTTTTGAATGACAAACAGAAGGACAATGGTCAACATGTGAATGTGATGAATCTACTACAAAACTTCATTATTCATGGTATACTGCATATTCTTTTTTTAGAAGAAGCTTTTTAGTTATGCTGTTCCTAACAGGCCATTTTACAGCCTTGTTTTGTTACAAACTTTCCTGCTTTTCATGTGCAAATCGTGGTATTCTCATGCTAACAAGCCTGTGAACATGATCATTTACATATGAAAAACAAGGTCACCGCCAGCCTCACTTCTATTCAAAGGCCAGGGAACTGAACACACAACTGTAATATGCCTATTGCAGAAGAACTCAAAACCTTTTGAAAATAGGAGAAACTTAGCATCAAGCAAATTTACTTTCGGAACTCCATGACTACAAGACTAATATGAACAATGTAAACTTTGATTTGCATCATCAGTGTGGAATTCATGTTTTTGAGATGGAGGCAGTCCTGGGGTGGGTACTCCTATGCATGGGTAGATAGGTATGTGCTGCTGGGGAGGGGATGGTTTTTGAGGGCATTACCCTCCTTATATCATCTAGCTATAATTCAAGCGAGTCAATGCCTAGCTACAAGAGAAACAAATTACCCATTAAAACTGAACTTTACAGTAGAGTATTAAGAAAGCAATCTAACCCATTTGCCCCTGGAGATTTTGCTGAAAAACCCGTTTTGAAGCTAGTCGAGTGGTTTTCTGGTCACTGTCGTGCTATAAAGAGGCAAGAAAAGGGAAAAAAGAGGGGTGGAGAGAAGGTAAAAGTCAAGAGTGCTGTGTCACTTTTAAACCCAAAAACTTTTGCTTTCTGTGCGCGCCCGAACTTTGCAAGCTAATATTTTGATTCTGGGTCAGAAGGCTGTGAAGTGTACGACCTGCTAACGGCTTTGTGGTAAGTGTTAACTTTTTATAGCACATTAGTGACTAGAAAACCGATTGACTAACTTCAAAACGGATTTTTTCGCCAAAATCTCCAGGCGCAAATGGGTTAAATTGCTGTATTTCCTTTAGAATAACAGGCAGAGGGGTTAAGGAAGATTTGTTTCTTCCCATTGAATTCTTAGTTTTTGTTTTTTCCTTGAAATGGGTCTCATAAAATTATTCCAGGTTTGGACCTCAAAAAGGGGGTCAGTTTTAGTTTGGCTCATCCTTAATTAGGATCAGGGTTTAAGACCCTGGGCAGCACACACCTATATGAAATTTATGACAGCACACCCCCCCTCCCCCTCCCACCTTTGGATGCTACCCTCCTAGGCAGACATTTTTTGGCTCGTCACGCGTGACTAAGCCCAAATAACGTCTGCATGGGAGGTTACTTTCCGGCTAATGTTCTAAATGGCAAGTAGCGAGGAGACATGGCTGTATTTGTAGGCTAGGGTGAGTGGATGAGGCTATTAACATGAGCAGATCAATCAACCTCTTTCTCTTACGTTTGAATGGTCAAAGATGTGTGTGTGTGTGTTCTGCCTAAAGGCTAGTCCTTCCTTATGGTTTTAATTCAAGGCACGCCTCTTGACCGCTACGAAAGGGCCGCCATCCTTCACTCTATCCAGCCTTCCCACTTGAAGTCTTCCAGGGCCTCTTTCCTGTTGTTCTCCCCTTGATAACTAATGGTACAAGATAACCATGCCGCAGGGTGTAATTAAGGATAAGAGATAAAAAAGAAATGATGTTGTTGCTTCTCAGGATGGTATCCGGGCATCCCCTGCTAATCCATACCAAGTGTATGCACAGGCTACCCCAGTTTTAAAAATTGAGCCTGATAATTCGCCTGAACTACCTTAGGTATCATACGCTGTTCCCGGTTTCATTCAAATTTTTATAGTGAGCCAAGCTGCTTGTGGCTTTTGGCCTTTGGCCAAAGAGCGTTTCGGCCACACTGAGGGGTTTACGGTCAAGTCGCCCGAAAGTCATCTCGCCCGAAGTTCGCTGTTTTCAAAATGGTTGTAAATTCTAAAATAGATTTTTTACACTATTTTTATTTTTATTTTTTTAATTTTTGTTTTTTAGATATGAAGGAAGTTGAGAGACTTGTTCGCACCATTGAAGCTGATGGCCTTGTATGGGGTGCATCCAAACTGGTACCTCTGGCATATGGCATCAAAAAACTTCAGATAAACTGTGTGATCGAAGATGACAAAATCTCCACAGATTTTCTGGAGGAAGAGATAACAAAGTTTGAAGACCTTGTTCAATCCATGGATATCGCTGCCTTTAATAAGATCTAATGCAGGAATTGCGGTATAGATACTGAATTAATAAAATAAACAAACACCAACAAAACTGTGTTTGAATATGTTCTGTTGTCTCCTTTTGCTTTGTGAAAGGGTAAGCAGTTCCTAAAATGTCTATAAATTCCAGGAATCCTCGAAAATAAAGCGTTTTAAGTCTTATTCCAGAAAACTTGTATTAAACATTGTCGATTGTCAGACTTGCAGATTGCACTAACTGGGACGTTCGGTTTAACTAATTTTCACTGCGCTTTTCAATAATACCATACCGTTTATAAAATGAAATGGATGGAAAAATAGAGAGGGGAGCCTATTTGAGATCTTGACTAAAACACCACATGGGTGCCGATGGGTAACATACAAGTAACACACGGATACATACAGGCACATTTGCAGGCACATACGAATACATACAAGTAACATACGGATACATACATACGTTTCTAAACTACGGGTAGCCTCTGTACTTTTTTCCCGTAAATCGTGAAATTAGGCATTTTCACTTAGTTGTCGTGCAGTGACGGCAAGAAATGTACAAAAAGTTCGTGCAAGGTTGTTTTGCATATTAAACCTATAATTTGCGTTTTTGCGTTCTAGTTTTGGTAATAGAGACCTTAAGACCGAGGTTCGGTCATCATGATCATTTGCTGCAAACTTACTACAAACTGCGGTTAACTAGACTACGAGCAGTCTCTCTTTTTTCTTGGTCCGTCGAGAAAAACGCCCGAGACACGCAAATGACCACGCGCGTGACTGAAGGCGCGAGACGGGAGAGGCACGACAAAAAAGAGACTTACCTCTCTTTTCTTCTCGGGCTGCCGCCCTCGTTCCTCGCGTCTCGCGCGCGCGTGCACTCTCTTTACTAAATCTGGCCCCTGTTGTTCAAAAGTTGGATAGCGCTATCCACCGGATAAATCACTATCTAGTGGATAAATATTAGGGAAACCAATTGCACTATCCACTCGATAGCGATTTATCCGGTGGATAGCGCTATCCCTTTTTTGAACAACTGGGGCCAGATAAATTACTATCCAGTGGATAAGTATTAGAGAAACTAATTGCACTATCCACTGGATAGTGTTTTATCCGCTGGATAGCGCTATCCAGCTTTTGAACAACTGGGGCCTGAAGGAAAAGAGAGGCCGCTCGCAGTCTAGCGGTTTCCATGTTTGTTTTTTTAAATAGAATTCGCTTATCAAGAAGCAAACAAGTTCTAAAAAGTCGTATTTCTTCTCAAACGTAGAATTGTTGTGATGTTTTGGGTTACAAAAAACCTTGCAGTAAATCGCTTACCTCTGGAGCGTGATCTAGCCGTACAAACAAGAACCTCAAACCGCAATCCCGACGCAAGGGCAAGGCCCTGGTCACGTGATTTCTTGACTTTCGCGGTTCGCGGGAAAAGCCGAAAAACCTCAATCTTAAGGTCTCTAATAATCTACAGTCCGCGGAGCTAAACTAGGACAGTGCCGGCAACGGAATAGCCCGTCCAGATTGTGGGGACGGCGCAGAGAGATGTCAGAGGAAAGACAGCGAAGAGGTTACCTCTCTTCTTATTTTCTCTGACTTCGCGCCACAATCCATTGACAGGCTACAATACTCGTCAAAATCTCTTGAAACACTTGTGTGCGTTTCCTCTTCCCAATGTTGATTTGGGTATTACAGTCGTCTAAGTGCTCCAAAATCAGGGTTCGTACTCTGCTCAGCTTTTCAAATTCCATGACTTTCCACGACTTTTTCCATAGCCTTTTCAAACCTGCCTCACTATTCTCTACTTGAACGGGGAACTTACTTTCACGAAAAGTAAAAGCTGAGACCATTTAACCGGGGAGCTAAATATCTCAAAGTTATTGGCAAGAGCTTTAAAGCCATATTTCAGCCATAACATTTAATAGAACCACAGCAAAGGAAAACTGAACACTCGCTTTCAATAATATGTGGAATATCTATGGATTCGGAGAGGATGCAGTCGGGTTTGCTGAATTTTCGCGAAGACTGTGCATACTTGTTTGCTTTAATTTCACACAACCTTTTATTCATAATATATTCAACAGTACATACAAATTTTAAAAGTTTTTTATGTGTTTTCTTCACGTCTTCCACCGTCATCTGGCGTCATCTCTTCCTTTTACTGAAAAGAAATAATATGAACAATTTAAGAAGAAATCACTTTAAGGAGTGAAAATGGGTTAACATCATCTTCATTGAGTGTCTGGTATACCCAAGGACATATAGATAACCTGAGATCAGGCCCAATTTTAGCAGTTCTCATACATTCTCTCTTACGTGCTAAAAAGCGAAATAGGCCGTATTCACACTAGAGACGGATTGTCCGTTAAATAATTCGCGTCAGATAATTAATGGGGCGGGGGGATTCAAATAACACGTCTTAATTTGAAAATGGAACGGTTTTGATTTTGAATGCCTGCCACGCAGGCTAATGAACAATCCGCCTTAATTTATCGGCAACTGTCTATCCATCAATTTTGCTCAGATTTTAAAGACGGATTATCCGTCTCAGACTGATGACGGATAATCTGTCTCTAGTGTGAAACCAGCGGAGCTACGCGCAGAGCATCAGGAAAACACGGTGGGTATAATAATCTGGTACCATACATGTACCGTAAACTTTCGTTTATAAGTTCCCTCCCCAATTATAGCCCCTTCTACAGTGGAACCTCGATATCATAAAGTGCCAAGGGCCTGGCAAAATGTGTTCGCTATAACGAGGTTTCGTTATATGGAGGTTCTTGTCCATATACTTTACTATTGCTGGGGTAAAGAAAATCGTTCCAGTTGTGTAGGACCTGCTCGTAAGGTCTCTCATGATTGGTCGCAGAAAACAATGGCATGTCATTCTTTCAATTGTTTCGGTATTGTTTGGGGTCAGGGTTAGGCACCATTGGTGACTCCTCTTCCTCGGGAGCGTTCCTTATATCGAGGACTTCAAACGCAATCACTATAATAATACATTAATCATATACCTGATTAAAAGCATAACTTACCTTTTTATTTGCTCTTCTTGTATCAAGTTGTATTGAAAGGCAAAAAAGTACAACAGATTGTCAAATTTTCCATCATATTCTCTATTAAAGAAAATCAATAAGAACAGTGGTTGTACATAAGCTTATATATTGCATAGCACTTGTTATATGAAAAGAAACAATTATTGGCATTTAAGTTCTTTAATAGAGATATTACTATTATAATTCTGCAAAATTGAGGGCCTGTTTACACGGAGGTGGGGGGCCCCATGAAGGTGAGGTAACCCACCTGTCCATATATAATCTCTCATACGGTCACCTCACCTATCACGTAAACGTGATCAAATAAAAAATGAGAGAATACATGGACAGGCCGGTTACCTCGACTAAGCAGGCTACCTCACCGACCTAAGATCCCCCACTTGTATGTACACAGGCTCTCAGAAGGCTTAGTTTTCACCCGGGGTGGTCATCTTGTCAGGATGGTGAAGCTCGCAAAGAGCTGTACGGTGGTAGCGATTTTATCTCTTCTCAACATCTTGGAATCGACAGCTCCATTTGGCCAAGAAAAAAGTATGATAGCCCAAAACCGGCCTCTCTGGGAAGTAAATTTCCTGGTTTTGTAGTCTATGGAGTTTTAATAACAGTGACTAGTGATTGTATGGGACTTCACAGACTGATGCTTAACTCTATTTAATGAAGTCCACTTAATTATACTAGTTTCACAGCACCTAATATGTACCTTAAACAAGTATTCATAATTATTTGTTGTACTAGAGGAGTAGCATGGTATTCTCACATGAGAACTAAATCTGCATGTCATATTGCAAGTGGAAGTCTTGCAGTATTTGCCTCTTCTTCTGAAAATGCCAATTTTTTTTCTGCGACGAACAGCAGTGTAGATGGATGGTACAGTCTGCGTCCTAACTAATACGCTTTTTTGCAGGTACAGCACTTTGGAGTAGCAGAACTTCCTTTTTGAGTCAGTGTCTACATTTGCTTTCAAGTAAATACATTATTCTTCCAAAAAATCTATCACACTTAGAATTGAAAACATTACTAGTAAGAGCAAAAAATTCTAATAATGGTAATACAGGTCATGTACCTTTTTAAAACATGTTGTTCATATTCCTTGAAGAAGTAATAAATTGCTTCAATGGTTGCTAGGCAGGTGTCGGGTTTATTCCTCTGAGGCCTAAAGAAGTCAACAACTCCATGAATCTCTAAATATTAGTCTGCAACATTTCGTACATTAAAATTAATGGCATCAATTAAATACACTACAGACTGCATCATCCTTCATGGTGATTTTATTTGTTACATAAAAGTACAATTTACAATAATTGCATACCTCCAAAAATGTGTCACAGCACTTTCAAGTTTGACCCTTCTGAGACCATCTAATTTTTTGTCCTGGAAAGGAAAAATGCATTTTGTTTGATGGTGTGCAAAGAAAGTTGTGTCTGATAGCCATGATTAGTTGATTTTATGATTGTCCAATGGGCAAGTGAAGTTTTTGGGGGCAAATTTAATTTTCAGATTAGAAGCACTGAAAGCCCTATGAATATGTTATTTTCGATAACTTCTGCCAAGTGAAAATGTACAGCCAGCTAAATCCTGGCCTTAAAGGAGGCTACATCCATCAGGTGACATACACGCGTCACTTGTAACACAACAGACATATTTGGGTATTTTATATCACAAATAAACACCCCACCTCTGTTATAGTACTAGCAACAGTTTCACAAAGAGACTGAGAAAGTGTCTTCATGTTAGTTCTTGTATTTGAGTAGCAATTATTTTACAGAGACTGAGGAACTGCTTTCAGGATACCTCTTGTGTTTCATTCAAAATACATGTAATTTTGTATTAAATTGCGTTTACCTAGTACGTGCCTCACCCACTTCTCTCTATATTCCCCTTAGTGTTTTACCCGAAGTTGAAATACCGGTAAGCGCCAATCTTGAATAAGTGCCACACCTTTAGCAGGGAAAATAAAATAAGCACCACGGTGCT